CAGACATGACTGCACCTGGTCAGAAATGACTATACCTGAGTCAGACATGACTATACCTGGTCAGACATGACTACACCTGGTCAGACATGACTATGTCTGAGTCAAACATGACTGCACCTGGTCAGACATGACTATACCTGAGTCAGACATGACTATACCTGGTCAGACATGACTACACCCGGTCAGACATGACTATATCTGAGTCAGACCTGACTATACCTGAGTCAGACATGCCTATACCTGAGTCAGACATGACTGCACCTGGTCAGACAAGACTATACCTGAGTCAGACATGGCTATAACTGACGTAATTCTGTACAGACGTACTTACAGACGTGTTTACATCACGTGTTTTCTGTACAGAAACGATATTTCTTTCTTTTGTTAGAAATACATATTTTCTTTTGTAGTTAAACTGTAGAACATTTGCATCAAATTGAGCAACACATTTTTATAGAAAATGACTAGAAAAACAAAAAAAAATCTTTTAAATTTTTTTACAGCAATTTTTTGAAAATTTAAAGTGTAAGTTAATGTAAGTCTAGTAAATAACTAGTATGTAAGTTTTTGCAGTTTAATTCAAGCATAAGTCAGTAAGCTTGCTCGCTCGCCTTTATCCGCTCGGAATAAGGCCAAAAAAAATCTAAATTTTTTAAAATCACGATTTAAATATGATATATCACTTGATCGTTCACTCGATCGTATCCATGATTGTTTATGATACTTGATTTTGAGTGGAAAATATATTGAAGAAAAGAGCAACAACACATGCTCAGACTGACTAAACTGATATATCTAAAATTGTTCAATAAGTAGTTTTGTGGGGCAGTGGCGGATCTAGGATTTTCTTGAGGGGCGGATTTTCAAAAAAGTTTTAAAAATTTTGTCGATCTTTTGTTCAATTTTGTTTAATTTGGAATTTTGTTTATTTTGGAACAATTTGAAAAATTAACGTGATATCAAAAAACTCAGGACATACAATTTCCTTGATAAATGAAAAAGTATGTCTAACATTTTAGCAAGGCAATAGCATCATAAATTCAAGATAGCCATTGAAAGACAAGCTATTCAAGATGGAATCTGAGCAGAATGGTCCAAGAGCAGATTCGGTTCAATAGCATAACCAAGTAGTTAGTTGAACCTACAACTAGTACATCAACGTTTGCAATGTTAAGTGGTTGCAGTTAAAACGAGTTCTGTGAAGCTTTAAATCTCAAATTCCCCATCCCCCAAAGCACGTTTGGTACTGAAGCTAGCTAGGTCTTGCAAAATAGGAGTCGGACAGCAGGCCGACGGGACTTCGAGCCGAGATTTAAATTTTTTCTAGTATTTCAAAGACATTAGTTTCATCCTTATATGGTTAGTAAAAAATAGCCCATACTAATCAATTTTCATAACAAGGCACGATTTACAGATTAGCTTCGTTCCCGCACTGGAGTATTATGAGAAAAAAGCGATTATAATTGAATTTATTGGTAAAAAAACATTATCCATATTATCAATTTTATTGAAAATTTAACGAAAAAACAGAATTTTGAGGACTATAAACGATTATGTTCAATTTGTATAACTGATTATAACCAATTATGTTATACCTTCCACTTAACCTACACGCTATTATCACCATCACCTCATCTGCAACCCCAGTTTTTACCCCACACTTCCACTTCCCAACGAAGAAACGTGGGCAAAGGGCAATTTTTTTTACTACGGCGAAGGTAAAAAAATAGTTAAAAAATGAAAAACTGCCAAATTGAAACAAAGTTAAAAAGTAAAATTATAACATTTTATGTGAAAAAAAATTATAAATGTAATCCGTAGCAATTGCACATACAGAAAATGAGATAACTGTCAAAATATGCATAAAAATCAAAATTTATCAGTAATTTTTCAAAAAATCCACTATTATTGATAATAAATAATTATAATGGAAATTTTTATTTAACAAACTTTTTCTTTTAAGCCAGTTTTTTTGGGTTAACATCGTAAAATTGATTAAAACGGATTATAATGGATTATAATGATATGAAAAAAAATTCGGATTTCTCTCCATTTTTAATAGATTATTATCGATTTGTAGTATTATCGGTTTGTAGTTTTATGAATACTGACAATAAAATAAAAATATAATCGATTATGATTTAAGTGCTCTCGTTAAGGGTTTTTACATCAGACAGGTGATTGAAATGCATAATCTGTACCCAAAAAAACTCATTTTAAAATATTTTGATTTTTGACTTTTTAAACCAATGAAGTGCTCAAAATCTGTAAACAAAACTAACTGTTAAAATATTCCAATAAATGGGTGAATTAAACATAACAATGTTCATTTTAATCCAATTTCTTGGGTTTTATAGATTATTGATGCCTTGAAGTTGCTTTATTACGACTCGGTTTGAAATCCCGTCAGCCTGATGTCCGGCACCTCTGAAGCATTTTTAATTTTCTAAAATTGATTATTCGACTTGCAAAATGGGGGTGTATCGATTAGCATTTGTGCCTATTAGCATGCGATAATTGCTCTGATGAGTGTACATTCAGAAGCAAAAAAAAATTGACGAAGTTTTCAAAAAAACTCAAAAACCATACGATTTGTTACAGAAATTTAATTTTCATTTTCGCCAATTTAAACGTTTGGCTAAGTGCACACTGATAAAAATTGCAAATGTGATTAAACAGAACTTGGAATCCCGAATTGTCAAACTACATTCTTTTACAAAGGTATTGTAATCAGTACACATGCTAATAGGCTGGTCCCCTTGCAAAGTGCGAGCATACGCAGTTCCCGGCGGCAAAAGAGCAGTTCCCTTTTTTGACTTCCAGTTACAGTTGCAAATTCGTTCAGCGTTCACAGTGTTAGCCAATCAGAGTTATTTCGTTCTTCCCTAGGATTGGTTCAGGATTTGAGTTTTTCTTTAAGACCGACCATTGGCAAGTCAAGGATCTGTTTTTATAGTTGATAAAATTGGCAAATTTGACTTTTTTGTCATCTAAAGAAAATTTATAATTGACATCACCATTTCATCATCACCACCTCATCTTATAGTTATTTTTAATGGATACTTTGATAAAACAAATTTTGTGATGTACTTCCATTTTTATGGATTAAAATTTAAAAATCGAATACAATCGATTATAATTTATTATAATGATTTGAAAAATATTCGGATTTCAATCCATTTTAACAGAATATGATTAATTACTTGCAAAAATTTATGAATGATGACAAAAAAGGACAAAGTAATTGATTATGAGCAATGTGCGCTCGTTGCCAGTTTGTTACATCAAACAGTTGATTGAAATGCATAACTTGTACCCAAAAAATTTTGTTGTAATTTGTTTTAATGTTTGACTTTCACAAATTTTAATGGAGTTCTCAAAATCTGTAAACAAAAACAACTGTTAAAATTAATCATAACAATGTTCATTTTATTCCAGTTTTTTGGATTTTAAAGATTATTTATGGCTTGGCGTTGCTTTATCACGACTCGGTTTGAAATCCCGTCGGCCTGATGACCGGCACCTCTGAGGCCGTTATATTTTTCTGAAATTGATCATTTGACTTGCATAATGGGGTTTTAGCGATTAGCATTTGTGCCTATTATCATGCGTTAATTGCTTTGATGGGTGGTCATTCAGAAGCAAAAAATAATGACGAAGTTTTCAAATATTTTTTAGATTATTTATGGCTTGGCGTTGCTTTATCACAACTAGGTTTGAAATCCCGTCGGCCTGATGACCGGCACCTCTGAGGCCGTTATAATTCTCTGAAATTGATAGTTTGACTTGCAAAATGGGGTTGTAGCGATTAGCATTTGTGCCTATTATCATGCGTTAATTGCTTTGATGGGTGGTCATTCAGAAGCAAAAAATAATGACGAAGTTTTCAAATATTTTTTAGATTATTTATGGCTTGGCGTTGCTTTATCACGACTCAGTTTGATATCCCGTCGGCCTGATGACCGGTTATAATTTTCTGAAATTGATAATTTGACTTGCAAAATGGGGTTGTAGCGATTAGCATTTTTGCCTATTATCATGCGTTAATTGCTTTGATGGGTGGTCATTCAGAAGCAAAAAATAATGACGAAGTTTTCAAATAATTTTAAAAACCATACAATTTGTTACAGAAAATTAATTTGCATTTTCGCCCAGTTAAAAATATGGCTAAGTGAACACTGATACAAAATGCAAATGTGAGTGAACAGATGTTGGAATGCCGAGTATTCAAACTATATTCTTTTACAAAGGTATACTATTCGACATACATGCTGATAGGCTGGTATTTTGCAACATGTGAACATACGCAGTTCCCGGGGGCGAATCGTGTGACTTGTTTGACTTTCAGTTACAGTTGCAAAGTCGTTCAGCGTTTACAGTGCAAGCCAATCAGAATTATTTCCATCTTCTCTTTGATAGGACCGGTTCTGTTTTTAAGTTTTTTCTCTAAGGCCGACCATCGGCAACTCAATGATTTGTTTTTATAGCTGATGAAATTGGTACATTTGAATTTTTGGTCATCTAAAAAAAACTTTAATTTTGGAATGTTCTACCTTGACATTTATTTTAAACTTTTTTTAAAAATATTTTTTATGGCGATACTGCAGAATTTAAGGCAAATAAAAAGCAAAAAGAGATGATTCGATTACACTGACTTTGCAAGTTATATGAATTATGTCTGACTTGAGTTTTTCTTTAGACTAAGAGTGTGGATTTGTATGTTTAGGCTTTTGGACTACTAGAGGTCAATTCTTGTGCGGTTTTGTGGTCAAAAACTTAAAAGGGCTCAGGATTTAAACCTGATTTATGCAAAGCTAACCGTCTTTTTCGAAACCAGCGTAGAACAATCAATGTAAAATGAGGAACTTGATTTCTCTTTTTCCTATTTTTCCGCTCTTCCGCTTTTTCCGCTCTTCATATTTTTCGTGAATGATCTCCCGATTTGATATAAAATCAGTTTAAAAAACCAGATCAAATAAATTTTTGTATGAAACACTTACTTGGACATTGACGTTCGTTTCTGTTGTAAAACCATGATAGGGTGTGTGACAAGCCTTCATTTGTAAAAACAACGAAGGAAGCCCGAAAAAGTGGGCCACCAAATCCTCGAGGGCAAAACTCTCCGACGGGTAACCGGCATTCCTTTGCCTTTCGCTGTTTATTTTCCTGAAATGCGCAATAAATTCTCTGTCTCCGCAAAAGTAAACAATGTTTGAAGAGCTTTCATGTAATATCATTGTAGCTTTCATTGTTGAAAGTATTAGCTTATTACTATTGAAACATTGACTATTTAGTTATTACTAAGTCAAAATTATGGCAAGGAATGACAAAGCATGACTTTTTTGTCAACAAACTTGAATAAACTTTAAAGCAAACCAACTTAAAAGAGCCTAGAGTTTGCGGAACGCCGATGATCTTGATACGTTTTCAAATTAATCGGTCATTAATATTAGTTTTTGTTGTTCGTAATAATATTTGAACAAGCGAATTTGATTTGAACGAGATGTCTAGAAAATCTAATTGTAATTCAGCCTCTCTGAATATATAGTCTGGAGATGACAGAACTAACCGGCTGAACTTTGCTAGGGTTCGGAGTTCTTTCAGAACGTAATTTTAAATAATCTTGGGATTTTTTTTCGATATCCAATATTTGCCATTGATAAAATTTTAAACTGAGTTTTTCGTCATTACGAGGCCAAAGGGTGCATTGGATAGCTGCACAATTTTGTGTCTGTATGTTCCTGAATTCCAGAGACAAGTCTTTAAACATGTTCCAAAATGTAAGCAACTTCCACTTACAAAAATTCTGTGAATTCCGGGTACAAATACCTGTAACGTAAATTGTTTCGGCACATTAGCTTTGTCACGGATTCCGCAACAATCGAATATAAGTAGTTGTTCTGAATTCCTCAAAAGTAAGCGGATTCCGCAAAAGTAAGTGGGTTCCGCAACTTTATGCGGATTCCGCTTACAATTTATGGATTCCGCTGACAATTTGCGGATTCAGCTTACAAGCTGCGGATTCCACTTATAATTTAGGATTCCACGACAGCTTAAGTTTACTAAACACACGAATTTTTTAATTTGATCTTGGATTCCACAAATTGACGCAGAATACGCAAAATTTGTTGCCGATTCCACAATTTTTGTTGTGGATCCCGCAAAGTTGCCTGTTTTTGGAGCAATTTTGAGCAATACAGTGTTTTAACTATTTGTTTGTTGAATCCAAAACAGCAAAGAAGATCAAAGAAAAGAGGCAACGTTCTGGATTCCGCGTCAAAACTGAATTTGGCCCGCTTATAATTCGCAAAATGCACAGTTTGGCCTCGTTATGGTTTTAGTCGTAATTTCAATTGAGATGAAGAGGGGATGAAGATTGCGGATTCAGTTTGGTCAAACTAATAGCCATAACGACTATATTTTTTCGCCATATTGCCATTTTCCTAATAAAAATTATAGTTTCTGCCGATTAGCAGACGATATATGAAATTTTATCCAGCATGTATAAACATAGTCCGCTTTTCTTATTTCCCCACATTCCAGACTGAGTTATTTTGTTGAGCAAAGCTGTTTTTCCAGAAAACTCACGAGATTTCTGGAAAAACTATGAAAACTCACTATGAATTTTTTAAAAAGCATATCGCCAAAGTTTTTTCTTTGTAATGACATATATTTTTTTGGGAAACGTTGTTTCTCGCTAATTTTTGCCGCAACTGTTTCCACAGGTTCTTGTTTTTGTCCTTTTTAACGATTCAAGATTCATTTCATTTGATACAAAACTTTACAAAAATCTCCCATCTTAATCACTGCATTAAACTAGACAGAAAAGTCTACTCGTCCTAGAATGAAGCTACCGTCTGGGGTCACAATCGTAATTATTAGCCACAAAAACTGATCAAAACGAATCAAAAAATTTTGTCGGCCAGCGGAACAACAACAACAATTTGATTGTTTTGAAAGCGAAAAATCCTGAGAAAAGTGGCTATCTAAACATAGTGGAACAGTAGCAGCTAAAAGCTACTTTATTTCAAAAAGTTGAAGAATTTCAATGTTCTGAATTAGTCCATGATTTTTGCTCCACAACGATGTAGAACTTATGCAATTTGAGCTGGATTGTGTTTTTTGTCCGACTGCAACCAACACTCACAATCAAAAATCAATCGACGAAAGCTTCAGCTTTTGAGCAAAATTTGATTTGACAAGCCTAGACACATAAGCATCATGAACTGCTCGGATTCAGAAGTCAATCAGTTTTGTTTATTCAGTTGAATAAAATGGTGCTTGTAACTTTGCTCTAACAGACAATTATTGCTTAACATTTGCGTTACTTGGGCTACAGTAGACAAAAATATGATGAGCTAATAAAAGCAAGCAATAAGCTAAATTGAATTTGATAACAGTTTTTTTGAACCTAACTTAGCTTTTGTTTTAAAATCTACGCGAAGAGTGTAAATTTTAGCTTATTGTCCATTGAGCACCAAGAAAACCGACACACCTAATTAGCTCAATTTTTCCTCTTCTAGGAAATTTTTTTTTCATCAGAAACAAAATATACCATACAGCAAGGTTTTTCATTTTGATTGATTGGCAGCTTGATTTGTACGCACTGTTTAAGTCGCATCAACTTTTTTAATAACTTTTGAAGTGATATGAAAAATATGAGGATGGCAGTAAATGCACAGGAAGAACCTATTCAAATTGGAAGGTTGTAAAGTTTTTCTGTTTACTGATTTTAACGTTATGTTGAACTTTTGATAAATAATTTAATCATGAGTTTTTGTTTCAACAGTTTGAAAAATGTTGAGAAGTTTTGTATTCGGCCTTGTTTTCGATTTTTGTTTTCCACGCAAAGTCAGGTACCAAAATGATCATCGGAAGCGGTGTTTTCTCATTAACGAGAAAAAAAATAAACCTTAATTTTTCGATTTCTAATTCAACTTTGAGTTAATACAATTTTCATCATAAAATCTTGTCCAATTTGTTTTTTTAATTTGACTGTGAAATATGCCTTTAATCACACCATTTATCACACCACGCAGAAACAACTACACTGATTTTCAAGAAAATTCTTGTAGTTGTTTTGAAAGACTATGGTCGGAACGTTCTATGCTACTTGCACAGTAACCGGATAACCTTGTTGACATTTCCACAGACTTTTCTTAAGCTCATTGTTTTCAATTATTCAATAGAGGAAAAAAATATCAATAACAAATATGAACCAATGTGCTTAGAAGAAAAAAATTTTGCTATAATTTCCATCACTGCCAATCACGCTCAATTTAATTATCTTTCCTTCTGATGGGATGCAAAAAAAGGCAAAATTTAATCCAAAACATTTGTCATAAAAACAACGATGCCTTCTCGACTATCAAAAAAAGTTTCTACTGCAGTCAATTCAGGCTTTCAATCAGGTTGCACTACAATTCTCATGAGTGAGTGTACTGGCTACTATTTTTCGTCAAACACTCATTGACGCGTCAAGTACATCAAAGAAGGAGAAGATAAATTTGAACTCAAATTTGTCGTTTATTTCGATTCGCTTTCTCCTCATAAGACAAATATTTTGTTTGTTATTTCTATAAATCGAAAATCTTTGTTTTTCTTTGATGGTTTTCAATATAAAAAGCAATACTTGACAATCAGCTTTTTTCAGATTCTTCAAAGTTATTATTTTCAGTTTATTTAGCAAAAATTCGACATTTTTTCAACGATTTGCAAGAAAGCAAACTTTTTGAACAAGTTTTTTTTACTGTTCAACTTAATCGTTTTAGCAAATGCTATTCAATCGCCAACATCCTTATCATGTTTTTAATTTAAAAATTTTATGGGCGATTGTTTTTGAATTAATTTTTATTAATTTTTTTCACGAGGCAGCGTAATGAATCTAGATTGGTTCTTTTAAACTAATTTGGGTGTTGAAATCATAAAAAATTTATTGTTTCCTTTTTTCATGTGTTTGGATGAAAAAAAAATATTGCTGTAAATTTCAGCACTGCCAATCACGCTCGAATTTTTCATCATTCCTGCTGATGCGATGTATTGAAAAGGCAAAATGCAATCCAAATGTTTGTCATAAAAACAACGACCTCTCCTCGACTATCAACAAAGTTTCATCCGCTGTCGATTCAGATTTTCAACCTGAACCTCGTTTTTATGCAAATACTTAAGCTTTTTCTGAAATCAGTCAATTATCTATTTGGTTCATTTTTTCAAGATTTTGTTTCGTTTAGTTCCACGTTTTACATTACTAGCAGAGTCTGCACATAGCTAGCCAAATTCTCTTCATTGTAGAACATCCGTAAACATTTCTCTAGGGTAAGAAATCATGGTCTGAGCCAAGACTCCTCTATTTGGTCCTTGCGCCTCGGAAGCACACACTGGAAGCACGGAGCACGGCAAAAGACAGCCGGCACTTCACACAATTCATAGTTTTACAATAGGGTTTCTCCCACTTGGTAGATAATGCTTCTCGTATTCACCGAACGAAAATTGCAAAATCTGGAGCAACCATTCCATCAACAGACACGACAAGAGGAGTGAGAGACATCTCCATTTCCTGACACGCTTCTGAATATTTGTGTTTTTATCAACCTCTGCTGAGTGCAAAACACTCATGGGGCTTCTGTTCTGATAGTAGATGGCGTCGCTCTGTACATCCTTCCACATTAAAGAAGCTAAGTCGCCTACAGCATCCCTAATCTCATTGTGCCGTAAAGTTAAGAGACCACCTATTTTGCAAGCTAACGCATGCCGTAGGGTGAATGGTGACTGGCAACTATCACAAAAGTTGGTGAAGCGATCAAGTTTTTGTTATACCGGACACTCAATGCATCCCGAAGCTCCACTTCCGAAAGATCAAAGTTTTCTGCAGCAATCGGTAACGCTGTCAGCCAGGCAGACAAGCTTCTTCGTTGATTCCTTTTACTGCGCGAACTTGCTCTGCTGGTAGCTCATTCAATAACTCCCCCAACAACTCTTCATGCTTCTCTTCCATTATTTGATGATGTTTTTTCCGCGATCGAGACGTTTGTTTTTTTCTGTGGTCTTCGTGGGAAAAACCGTGCTGATCAACAGTAGCATCATAACGAACCGTAACTGCTTCCGGTGACGTGTTGTAAGAATTATCAGCGAAACTGGTTGGGTTAGACACACCAAGACCACCCTTTCTTGCTGGCAAACAAAAGAGACGTCTCTCCATTGATGAAATTGACGAAGTTCCAAGTACCGCAGGTAAGAATTTCTCCATCAGAAGGTTCTCTAGCGGTTGAAAAAGTTGACTAGAACCACC